GAAGACAAAGATGCCTTCCAAAACCAGCTGCTCAAAACACCTTAAAAACAACACAAGAAAGTGAAAAACTGATCCAGCAACTGCAAGGTGAGACAAAGAAGACTAAACTAAGTATAATCAGAATAAGTGAAAAATCAGAAGCAACATAAAGCTGTTCACAGAATTAATAGCCGAAAACTCCCCAAATATAAGGAAATAAATAAACATATAGATAAGTGAGGGATATAGAATACCAAATACCCAGGACCAAAAGAAACCCTCTCCACATCACATGTACTCAAAGTTCTAGAAGTTCATCATAGGAATAAAATCTTAAAAGCTGCTAGAGAAAAGCAATGCATCATGTACAAAAAAAAAAAAAAAAAAAAAAAAAAAAAAAAAAAAAAACATTAGAATCCAAGTAGACTTCTCTGAACAAATTATAAGGAACAGGAGGGCTTGGACTAAAGTATTTCAAACACTAAAAGATAATAGCTTCCAATCCTGACTTTCAGATATTGAAATTTTTTCCCTTTAAAACTGATGGAGATGGCCAGGGGAGATAGCTCAGTGGCCTAAGCACCTGCCTGGAAAGCGCAAGGTCCTGAGTTCAATCCCTGGTACAAAAATAAATAAATAAATAAAATAAAAAAGTGAATTAAAAAAAAACTGATGGAGAAATAAGGCATTTCTTTTTTTAAGTTAATTGAGATAATTTTACTTTTTAATTTTTTTCCGATAATTTTATTGAGAAATAAATAGCAATGAGACAGTTTCACATCAAATTGGTAGGACAGTTCCAATAATTAACACATTGCATACTGTCTTCTTAGTGGATATTTGCTGTAAGAGATGCAGACATGATATCCTCTTTACAAACACTATTAGAACAAATGCCTCTATTCATTAAGAGAATGTAACTATGTATCCATCCTAACCATTTTGAATACACAGACACAAAATAGTCATTCATCTGTATCCCTTTTTTTGTTTAGTTTTGTCATTTAAATATTATAGGTGTGTGAATTCAGCAAAACATTATAAAATAGTCCAGTAGTCTATAATAGTATTGGGTCTTCCTCTTGACTGGCAATGTCAGAAGTTGTTGACCTGAGTTCCCTACAACTCAACATAACAACATGGCTTTACTTCTTATACTTCATTTTTATACTTTTCTGCTGGATGGTTAAGACCAAAATAAAGCAAGACCTATGCAACAAGAATTGTAGTTTTTGGATCTGATAAAGTCAGTCAAATCCCCTCAGGATTTATCCTGAGACCCTGTACCTCATATTGTAGATAATTTGTCAGTGTCAGCCATGTGGATGAGTCATGACCATTGCTTGGCCAATGCGCTCTCTGTGAAAGCCTGAGAGAATGTTTTTTCTCCATGTGACTCTCCTTAGGCACACTCTACATCATCAATCACTTTCCTCATTGGCCCCATAATATCCTTGATCAGAAAATTTGGGACATAACTGAGTTACATGACATTACAGTACAAGTTCTCATATGTTCTGAGTCTTAATTGACCTTGGAAGGCTAGGGGAAAAATGTTGGCTTTCCTTGAGGCCCTCATTTTTCTGTAATTTTTGGTCTGCAAACTTAGGTTGTTAACCCTCCAGAAGAGAATCTTATTGTTATTACCATACCACCTAGGCTGTTGAGCTTAGCCTCACTATCTGTCTGAATATCAAACATCTCAGGCATAATACGGAACAGGTATTTTTCATAAAATGTTGATATGGTAAACTTTAAGTCCTTACAGAATATGATGAAAAATATTTGAAAAATTAAAATATACTTTAAAAATAGGAATAAAAAATTATATATCTTTACACATAAGTCCAGAAATCTAAACATGTACAACACTGTAGCAGGACAGTCTCACAACACTCCTTTTCCTCTCTCCTGCCTTCATTCACCACCCCTTCCCTTTTTTTTCTTTTTTCTGGGGCCAGGGATTGAACTCAAGCCCTTGCACTTGCCAGACAAGTGCTTATTCTACTGAGCTATCTTCCCAGCCCCACCCCTTCCTTTTTGAACAGTCATCTACCCGAGAGACAGCATGGCAAAAACTGGCATGTCATGACAAGCAGCCTGTATTCAGAAGACCAGAATGACAGGCACTCCAAGTATGAACTGACTGTTACAAATTGCAATCTTCAGTGCAGTTGCTTAGTTCACAGGTGTCAGTATATATACTTAGTCAAGGTGAGAATCCTTCCAATTAACTGCTACATTCAAAACTCTGCTGCAGATTCTCAGGATCATTGCCTTTCCCATCTTGTGCATATAACTGTATGGCTTGACACTCTCATATTTGCTAGCTCTTCTCTTTCCCTCCCTTAATAGTTTAGTGCTCAAGTTCTTGCTTTCCTTTTAGTTGTATTATACCTTTCTATTTGTATTTCTTCATTTGAGTTCTTATACTAGGGAAACTATATTATATTTACACATGTGTGTCTGGTTAATTTCACTTATGAGTATATCTTCAAGTGGCATCCACTTCAATATCAAGTCTTCGAGTTTATCATTCTTTATAGCTGAGTAATACTCCATTGTAGAAAAATACCACATCTTTTCATCCATTCCTCAGGTGACAGGCATCTTGGTTGTTTCCAAGATTTGGCTATCACAAGTTGTGCTGCTATAAACATAGGTACACATATATCACTATGACTCCAGGAAAATTCCCAATAGAGGAATAGCTGCTTTAAATGGGATTTCCAGTCCTAATTTTCTAAGGAGTCTCCACATTGATTTCTATAATGGTTGCACCAGTCTGTATTCCCACCAGCAGTGGAGAAGGGTTCCTTTTTCCCCACAGCCTTTCCAACATTTGTTGTTGGTTGATTTGTTTATGATAGCCATTCTATCTGGGTTGAGATGATATCTCAATGTTGTTTTAATTTGCATTTCATGGATGGTTAGTGATGTGGAACATTTTTTCATATATTTATTGGCTTCTTTAATTTCATCCTCTGAGAAGTATGTGTTCCTCTCATAGCCCATTTCTGGACTGGGTCTTTAAATTTTGGGGCCCTATTGTTTTTTAGTTCTTTATAAATTCTAGAGAGCAGACTTTTGTCTCAGTACTTATTTGTAAAGATATTTTTGAAATTTGTTAGTTGTCTTTTCACTTTGATGGTAATTTCTTTTGACATGAAATAATTTCTCAATAAGAAGAGGTCCCAGTTGTTACTTTTTTCAAGTGTTTCCCATGCGATTTGTTTTTTGTTCATGAAATCTTTGCCTACCCTATGCCTTCAAGAGTTCCTCCTACTTTCTCTTCCAGGAGATTGAGTGTTTCTGTTTTAATGTTTAGATCTTTAATCCATTTTGACTTTAGCTTAGTGCATGGTGACAGATCTGGGTCAAGTTTTAGTTTTCAGCATGTAGAGAGCCAGTTTTTCCAGCACGATTTGTTAAAGAGGCTATCTTTCTTCCAGAGAATAGGTTTGGTTACTTTGTCAAACATAAGGTGGCTGAGTGTGTTCATAGATGCTTCAGCATCTTCTAATCTATTGCATTGATCCTCAGGTCTATTTTGTTGCCAGTACCATGCTGATTTTATCACAGTAGCCTTGTAGCATAATTTCAAGTCAGGAATTGTAATGCCTTCTGCCTTGTTTTTATTGCCCAGGATTGCCTTTGCTATTCTAGGTCTTTCCTGGTTCCAAATAAATTTTAGGAACAATTTTTCTAGGTCTGTGAGGTATGTTGGTGGTAATTTGATAGGGATTGTATTAAATCTGTATAGCAATTTTGAGAGTATAGCCATCTTCACAATATTGGTTCTTCCCATCCAGGAGTATGGAATATCTTTCCATTTTCTGAAATCTTCTACGATCTCTTTTATAAGAGTACTGTAATATTCCATGAAAAGATCTTTCACTTCTTTAGTTAGATTAATTCCAAGGTATTTCATTTTCCTCAGTGCTATTGTAAAAGGTATTGTTTCTCTAATTTCCCTCTCAATGTGTTTGTTATCTGTGTAGAGCAATGCTATTCACTTTGTAGCCTGCTATGCTACTAAACTTTTGTGTTAATTCTAGTAGCTTCTTGGTGGAGTGCTTTGGGTCTTCCAAGTAAAGTATCATGTCATCTGCAAATA